AGAGACCAAAGAAAATGGGAGGGAAGGAAGGGCACTTGAATCAAGGACCCTGAATCAGAAAGCCCAACAGCTGGTTCAAACATTTGTACAAAAGACCTCTGAAACACTGCTTGACTAGACTGGGGGTTTGTTTTCTTAAAGCCTGCATTGGAAATCTTCTGACTAAACAGGTGTTACATGCTTGCAATCCCATAACTTCGGAGATAAAAACAGGATGATTGCTTCATATTTGAAGCCAATCTGACCTTCTACAAAGAGTTCTTAGCCTCTTTGGGCTATGTAACAAGACTGTCTCAGAAAAGGAAAAAAATGGACTGGCAAGACAACTCAGTCATGCCATTGTGGCATGTAAACACATACTAAATAAATGTAAAAAATATACATAATTTTTTACAGTGTTTTGCCATAGGCCAATGTCTCAGAGAGCTAGATGTGTGTACCTGGAAAGCCAGCACGCAGTTGGAGCTGCAGAAACTGCAAATAGTTCCGTCTGACATGGCTACGTGATACTGAGGAACTGCTGCGGTTTTACAACTGTGACACAAAACCTGGAGACCTTAATGACAAAAAATAAAAACAATGAATGTTGCACACATACAGAAATGATACAAAAGTCTAGTAGAAAGACTAGTAGAAAGACAATCAAATATTCAGCACAGACTCTCTTATGTCTTTGCGGGACTGGATCCCAACCATCCCCCAAGGATGCCCAACATCTGCAGAACAGAGGCTTACGTCCATCTTATAGAATGGCATCACAGTGTTTGCACACCATCTCTGTACATTCTAAACATTTGCTCACAGGTCATCTCTCTATCACTTACAATATCTAACAAATGCAAATATAATATACATAGCTAACATACTATATTACTTTGAGAAAAATAATTTTAAAAATCTCTGTAATATTCAATTATATTTGCTGAGGGATTCTGTTTTTTGTTGTTGTTGTTTTGAGACAGGGGTCTTAGTAGTAGTTCTGGCTGTCCTAGAACTCACTACGTAGACCACAGTGGCCTCAAACTCAAGAGATCCGCCTGACTCTTGCTTCCTCAGTATTGGGACTAAAGGTGGGAATCACATTTGCTGAGTAATTCTGAGGTATGGTTGGTTGAATGTGGAAGGTCAACTAACTATAACATAAAAATATCATGGAGCTTTACAGTAATCTCTAAATCTAACTGCAACAACTAACCTCAATGAACTCTGGTTCATCAAAGCCTAACCAAAAGGATCGGAAACATGGCTCAGTGGTTAAGAGCACTGGGTGCTCTTTTAGAGGACCTGGGTTAGATTCCTAACTGCCAAATGCGGGGTCACAAGCATCTGTAACTCCAGCTCCAGGGACTCTGATGCCCTCTTCTTGCCTCCATAGGCACCAGGCATACACATAATGCATAGACATACATGCAGACAAAACAGGCACATAAAATACAACAATAAAAAAATCATTTTATTTGCTTATTTATTTATGTTTTTTGAGACAGGGATTATCTGTGTAATAGCTCTGACCTGGAACTTACTCTGTAGACCAGGCTGACCTCAAACTCACAGAGATCCGCCTGCCTCTGCCTTCTGAATGCTAAGATTAAAGGCATGTGCCACCACCATCCAGCACAATATTTTTTTTCTTTTTCTTTTTCTCTCTTTTTTTTTTTTTTTTTTTTTTTAGCTTTTTGAGACAGAGTTTCTCTGTGTAACAGCACGAGCTGTCCTGGAGCTCACTCTGTAGACCAGGCTGGCCTCGAACTCACAAAGAACCACCTGCCTCTGCCTCCCGAGTGCTGGAATTAAAAGGTGTATGCCACCACTATCCAGCCACAAAAAAAAATTTTTTAAAAAGAAAAAAAAACTATCTTAAAACTTAGTAATTATTTTTTATTTTTTCTACACATAAAACCATAAAGTATGTTCTACAAAAAGAGAGTATCAGTGCAAATCTGTTTTTATTTTCAGTTCTTCAAAAGTAAGTCAATCTTGGGTTTTTGGCCATATTAAATAAATTTAGTATCTAATGAAATTAAGAACACCAGGTATGGTCATCTTTAGTATGTTACCAAACCTGTAAATTTATCAAATTTAATCATTACCTGAAGAAATAACAGTCTTAATCCTGTAAGCAGATAAGCAATTAATAGAGCAGAAAACCTCTGATCTTCCTGGGTCATCTGTACTCTCACTCGTTTCAGCAGCCGGCTTCACTGAATTCCCCAAGGCATAGAGTGGCTTCTGGGCCAAATTCTATTAGGACAGCAATAACAAAAGTGTGTTTAAGCCTAAGTTCAAACATAATCACATCACTGTTTCAGATAAGAAAGGGCCAGAGAGAAGGCTCAGTGAGTGAAGCGCAAGTCCTATGCAAGCATGAGGATAGAAATTCAGACTTCCAGATCCCACTTTCCGATCCCACATAAAGCCATGAAATCCCAGTGCTCCTAAGGCAGGAAGGGAGGCAGAGACAGCAGTGTGTATGCGTAACCCCAGTGCTCCTAAGGCAGGAAGGGAGGCGGAGACAGCAGTGTGTATATGTAACCCCAGTGCTCCTAAGGCAGGAAGGGAGGCAGAGACAGAAAAATCTCTAGAACTCCACAAGCAGCCTGACATACAAAGCTTTAAATAAAAAGAGACCCCCCCACCTCAAACAAGGTAGAAGGAGTGGTTGTTGTCCTCTGACACCCACACATATGCCATGGCATGCACGCTCATTCGTTAATCACATTCACACACATATGCACACATGCATGCACACACACACACAATCATAACACAGATTTTAAGAAAAAAACAAAAAATACAACAACAACAAAAAAGCCAAGCCAAGTGTGATATCCAAAGCAGAGAATCAGGAGCCTAAGATCAGTCTTGGCTACAAAACTGAAGAAAACTAGTAACTACTCAATTAACAACAAAGCACACTATACATGATGAATGATGTATGGATAATCCATGAAGTACAGAGCCATTCTCAGGACTGATCTGGACTTCAGTTTAGGAAAGAGGATCAGATGACTCTTCATCAGGAGACAGAAATGATGCTTAATTCATAAGAGATCCTACAGAACCACTTCCTTATCAAGCTGAGTGACACACTAAGTAGGGCTAATTATATAATGAACTATAGAGCCAACTCATACTTTAACAAATAATAATGACCACCACTTACACATGGAAAGCAACTTCAAAACTGTCACTTGTGCAATAGCCAATCATTTAGTAAGGAAGTAAATGGGAAGGAAAAGGATATCAGGAAATTTCACACATTATCCGCTTAGTAAAAATGGGCCTCAAAAATTTGGAAGAATACAATACCAGTCCCAAATTAAGAATGGAATGGATACTTAAGTCACAAGTAAAGAAACATTAGTTATTTTCCTGTGAGGATAGTAACTGGACTGCCAAAAGAGGCAGTTCCTAAGAAATGAAATATTTCTTAATAATAAAAGAACATTTTCAACTGCTCCAAGGAATGAAGTCAAGCGCTTGCTAGGTAAAGGAATGGAGAGCATATGTGCATGCAGGTGCATGGGTGCTGGAGTATGAACATGTGTGTGGGAGGCAGGGCTAACCCGGGTATCACACAGGTGTTATTTACTTTATTTGGTTTTTTGGAGACATGGCTTCTCACCAGCCTGGAATTTGCAAGTAGCTGATGTTTGCTAGTCAGTGAGCCCAGAAATATGCCTTCCTCCACCAGGACTGTAACCATTCACCACTCTAACCAGCCATGTGGGTTGTAGCAATGGAATTCAAATCTTCATGTCTGCAACCACTCTACCAACTACCTATCACCTTAGTCCCTTAAAAGATCATTATCTTTTACATCTTTTATAAGAACTTTAAAAAAAAAAAGTGAGGATGATGGTTCAATGGTTAAAGTACTTGCCACACAGAAAAAAGGATTATAGTTAAAAATCCCTAGATTTAAAACCCATATAGACGCCAAGTAGATTTGGTGGCCCCTACCTGTAATTTCAGCATTTGGAAGGCCGAGATGGCTAATTAGACTAGCTGAACTGGTGAGCTCTGAGTTCAACTGAGAGACTTTACCTCAACCAAGAAGGTAGAAAGCAACTGATGATGACTCCTAACACCAAACTTAGACTCATACACGCATGCCCATGTACATATAAACGCACACAAAAAGAATAAAGAGAAATCTCAACCAGTAATAATTAAAACTGAAACAGATATAATATTTAACCAGACTATCATTTATTATAAATAATTAGTACCTGAAGTATTACAATGATAGTACCAAACCAACTAAGAATTCATTCCATAATACATCTTAAAAGAAAAAAAATAGAATTTCCTTAGTTTCAGTCAGTTTTGGCTTTTAATTCTTGCTCATTGGTGCATCTATAAGGAGTTTTCAGTATCAATATTTCACACAAGTCATTTGTAATTTCTGAGTCATGAATAAAATAGAATTTTTTTAAAGTGACCTGTTTCATCTAAATCACGTCATTATACAACCATCCCATGTGGAGTTTGTCCCCTTTCCCTGGAGAGAAGATCACACCAGGATGAACAGAAGGTAACTCCCACCTTCACTCTGCAACTCACCCTTGCACAGCCAGCTCAGGGAAGAGCCTACAAGTCCCACAACAGGAACCCACAGCTGCTTGTACACCATCAGGGACAGGAAGGTGTCTAACTCTAACAATGGCTCCCATGGCCATAGTGCTCACAACTGTTCGCAATGAGGCTGTTAGTTGTGTGAATTGTGAAAAACAAGCATCACAACAAAAACGTTGTGCCACTTTTTAATTGATTTCTTCTTCCTCCACTTCCTCCTCCCCCACCACAAGACAGGTAGCCCTGGCTGTCCTGGTGACCAGGCTAGCCTCAAACTCAGAGATCTACCTGCCTCTGCCTCCCGAGTGCTGGGACTAAAGATGTGTGCCACTACACCTTGTTATGATATTTAATTTCAAATCTAATCTGCATATCAGATACACAGATACAAAATAAGCAGAGCCATGTAAAAGAAATCTCTGATTTTAGCCAGGCATGGTAGCATTGTAATCTCTGCCCTTGGGAGACTGAAACAGCAAGATGGCCTCAAGGTTGAGGCCAATCTGAGTTACATAGCAAGATACTGTCTTTAAAAGAGAGGGGGAAAGGGAGGGGGAGGAGGGAGAAAAAGAAAAACTACCATGTCTCTGAGCAGAATTCCAATGAACGTGAAATATAACTAACTTACGTCAGTGACCTTCTGACACATGGTGCACTTAGTTGAAATGCCGCTGGTATATATGGTAACAACAGGCTTCTTTAGCTCATAAGAAGATAGGCATAACTGGCTGCAGAAATCTTTGCAGGAAGAGGAATTTTCAAATTTGGCTGTGATCACATCCTTTGGATTAATAATCTCTCTAAAAACAAATAACAAAGACAAATGTGCAATGATTCTACCTTCTTCCTCTCTGAGAGTTAAAATATTATCTCAGCTAGGAGTAACTATTGCATGGTAGAAAAAAACCTATATAAATCATCTGAAACACAGCATCATTGATGAGTTCTGTTACTTCTCAGTTAAATGATTATGACTGAAGCAATTATTGTCTCCACTATCTCATGTGTAAAGTGGGACTTATAATATCCAATGTAAGCATTTGTACAAGAATTATATTTAACAAAAAAACACTTCCAGTTCTCTGCTGGAATCAATGAAACTAGATCCAGTGGCCATCCCACAACCACAGACCACAGGACATGTGTTTACTACTCAACAGCTGCCAATAGTAGAATCATGACTGAGATCACAAATTATTTTTTTAATTAAAATTTTTAAGATGAACTATGAGAGATTAATATAAAAATTAGAATGCTATATAAATCTGAACTATAAGTGCCGGGAAGAACACAACACAAATAACTTAGCAGTTCTGTGAGATTTGTAGAGCGATTTCATAAGAGTCAGTTATTGCAATAAGCACTGAAAGCAACACCCAGTTAGAGGCTAAATGCTGCTCTTCTCAAAGGTATTGAAATTAAAGGAAACATTCAAGATAGAAACAACAAAGTAATTGATGACTATAGTATTATGCATGCAAGCACAGTGAATTATAACTATATGCTAGTCATTAAATATCACAGAAAACATTTTGAAGGAAGTACTATTATAATTTTTACTTTTCAGACAATGAGACTAAATGAGAGGTTAAATTAAATTGCCTCTCAAAATGGGTCTACTGACACAAGAATTCAAATCCAGAGTCCAGAGTTGATCATCCTCATCCTACTAGCCAACACCTGGTGCATCTTTCTTTATCTTTATTTTGTGAGACCAGAGTCATTCCTCCTTAGGCACCCACCTTGTTTCTCATGATAGGGCCTTTTACTGGGACCCTCATGTGCCAACTTCCCCAGTGCTGGGATCGCCAACATTCATCATTATGCCCAGCATTTTTAAATGTTTTAATAGGATTTCACAGTGTAGCCTTGGCTGGCCTGGAACTCACTACACAGACTAGGCTGGCCTCAAAGTCAGAGACCCACTGTCTCCCAAATGAAGGGATTAAAGGCGTGAGCTACTGTGTCCAGCAGTATGCCCATCATTTTACATGGATGCTAGGGATCAAATTCAAGTCCCCATGCTTGTAGAGCAAGCTGTTTACCAATCGAGCCATTTCCCCAGACCACATACCTTTATTATTCACAACTACTGCATAGTAATCTATGAAAGGATAATAAAAATTAACTAAATTTTCTAAAATTCTCTTAAGCTTCTACAGGGTGTGGTGGTTCAATAGCACTGGTTTGGGAAAAGGCGGAGGATCCAGAGTTCAAGGTCAAGGGCCAGAGAAATGGCTCAGTGGTTGAGAGCAATGGCTGCTCTTCCAAAGTCCTGGGGTTCAATTTCTATCACCCACATGGCAGCTCACAATGGTCTGTAACTCCAGTTCCAAGAGATACAACACTCTCATACAAACATACATGCAAAAGACTAAAAAAAAAAAAATCACTAAACAAAAAATAGTTCAAGGTCATCCAAAGCTACAAATGAAGTTAAAAGCCAGTCTGGGCTATGCCAGTCACTGTCTCACAAACAATCATAAAAAGCTGGCGAGAGGGGGCTGGAGAGATGGCTCAGAGGTTAAGAGCATTGCCTGCTCTTCCAAAGGTCCTGAGTTCAATTCCCAGCAACCACATGGTGGCTCACAACCATCTGTAATAAGGTCTGGTGCCCTCTTCTGGCCTGCAGGCATACACATAGACAGAATATTGTATACATAATAAATAAATAAATATTTTTTTTAAAAAAAGCTGGCGAGATTACTTAGCTGGCAGAGATGCGTGCCACCAGGTCTAATAACCTGAATTGAATGAATGGGACTCTCACAGTGAAGCCTACTCCCACAAGTTGTTTTCTGACCTTCTGCATGTGTGCACACGCGTGTACACACACAGAAAACATACAGGATAAATACATATAAAATATTTTTAACCAATCAACCAAACATCAAATATGTGCTTGCATATAGACAAAGTAGTGATGCTGAAGCGTGATTTTTCACTAAAAACAGTAATAAGTTATATTTAGTCAGATGTAATGGTACACATCTATAATTCCAGTACTTGAGACGTAGGGGCAATTGAATGACAATTTCAAAGTCAGCTATGTAAGTTAGTTCAGGACTGGTCTGGGTTACATGAAAACTTTTCTCAAAAGCAAACAACAACAAAACTGGGTTGGAGGACCAAGAAGGTTGAGTCTGATGAAGCAAGACTTTGCTGATACTCTCCTCCTAGACAAATGGGTGGAGAGACCAGCCCTTATCTGTGAAAACCACAGGGCCGACTCTACTGTCCAACATTTTCCAGCTCTGTCTTTGCTATTTTTTTAATTAATTTAACATCTATTGAAGAGAAGTGGATATGCATACTCAACATTGTAAAAATAAAACAAAACAAAAACCTATGGCTGGAGAAATGGCTCATGGGTCAAGAACACTGGATGCTTTTCCAGAGGACCCAGGTTTGATTCCTAGTACCCACATGCCAACTTACAACCATCTGCCAACTCCAGTTCCAGGACATGTGAAGCCTTCTTTGGCTTCCTCTGGCACCAGGCATACATGTAGTGCAGAGACATACATGCAGGCAAAACACCCATATACATAAAAATTAAGAAAACATCATGTACATATTATTATTCTATAATTATAAATACAAAATTACTTAAACTCTTTATAAGATCTCATTATTAAGCATTTATAATGCTAAGTTATGTGCTAATGCTGCCTCATTAAAATCCTAGGAAGTACATATTATTTAATGAAAAAAAAATGTTCAGAAAAGTCAAAATAGCAACATGACACTCTGCCTCAAAAAACAAAAACACACAAGCAAGGCAGTGGTGGCATATGCTTTTAATCCCAGGACTCAGAAGGCCAAGGCAGGTGGATCTCTTTGAGTTTTAGGCCAGCCTTGTCTACAAAGCGAGTTCCAGGACAGCCAAGGCTTTTACGAAGAGAAACCCTGTCTCAAAAAAACAAAAAAGAAGTAAAGTGAGGAAGTCAAGAATGAGAGTGCACAACTCTAATCCCAGCACTTGAGACAGAGGCAGGAGGATCTCTGTGAGTTCGAGACCATTCTGGTCTACATAATGAATTCCAGGACAGCCAGGGCTATACAGAGAAAACCTGTCTCAAAAATCAAACCAAAGCAGCAAATGAAAGCTTAGGAAGCCTGTACTTGGAGCAGTTTGTGCAGATTCTCTTGAGCTGATATGGCAAGCAGGCAGCTGAGGAGTATCTCGTAATGCATTCCGTGGAACAGAAAAGCTGAGCACATCCTGTCTTATGAAGTATTTTCTTACAACCAGAACAAAACAGATGAGAAGTCGGAGCTGTAGTTGATGCATTTGAGCCGGGTGATGGTGGACAAAGCTGAAAGCCTAACAAGACAAGATAAGAAACAAAATAAACAAACAAAAAAAAAAAGGAATTTCAGTTTCACCAATGCATATATTTTCTTTTCAAGAAAAAAAACTTGTGAGGGCTGAAGAGATGGCTCAGTGGTTAAGAGCACTGGCTGCTCTTCCAGAGGTCCTGAGTTCATCAGAATAAGATCTGGTGCCCTTTTCTGGTGTGTGGGCATACATGGAGACAGAATGTTGTATACATAATAAGTAAATAAATCTTTAATAACAAAATTATTAAAAAAGAAAAAAACTTGTCTGTTTTGAGTCATTATACTAAAAAAAAAAAAAAAATAATAACCACCCTCCAAAGCAAAGGGTTCTAAGTTTTTCTTACCACCAGTCTTTATAAGTATTATATTTTAGTTAAAAACCAGTTCTCTTATACACATATGTTAAACAAGATCTTTTTTCTCTTGAGACAGAGTCTCACTATATATAGACCAGGATGATCACCTGTCTCAGACTCACAGGTACTGATTACAGGTGTGAGCCACTTCAGTCACTTGCACACACATGTGCACGTTTAACTTAAGAGAAGGGCTTTTGTTTAGCTTTGTTTTTTTCAAGGCAGGGTTTCTCTGTGTAGTTATAGCTGTCCTGGAACTCACTCTGTAGACCAGGCTGGCCTTGAAATCAGAGACCCACCTGCCTCTGTCTCCCAAGTGCTGGGATTAAAGACGTGTTCTACCCTACCCAGTTAGAAGAAAGCTTTATAAAATATATATTTCCTTAATCCATGCATCACCTTCTGATATCATCTTAACATCTTCCCTTTTTTTCTAAAAGGCCCATGGTGATCAGTTTACACACTGAAAAATATACTAAAGAAGGAGAAAGGTCTCCAGTCAGAAGTACTTCCCTTGATTCCACTAAACAAATTCCAATGGTAACACACTTAGCTGGTTCTATTTCTTACCAAGAGGAGCGTCATTAGCTGAGAATACAGCACTAATTTTCAGTTCACTTTCCTGAAGTCCATATTCCTTAAAAACAAGGGAGGAAAAAGGGAGAGAAATAAGTACAATAAGCACGATTAAACTAGAAATTCAATTAAAAATATGATTCTTTTTATTAAAAATAGAGCAATGGAAGTGCATGGCTCTAGCCCCTGCAGCACTTAGAAGGCAGAGGCAAGCGGATCTCTGTGACTTCGAGGCCAGCCTGGTCTACAGAGCAAGTTCCAGAACAGACAGAAATACACAGAGAAATTCTATTTCAAAATCCTATCTCAGAAAAAAAAATCTGATCTGTCACATTCATCTTTTATACACCCTAATCATAGTCTCCTTCATAAATACCTCAAAAATCACAATTATTAGAATAGATATATTGTTTACAAAGACCATCTTCCAAAATTAGAAAACATTTACAGTTATACCTATTTTTCAAAAGTAATTTTGGTAGATGAAAATATATATAATATAAAATGTTCCAGCCAGGCGATGGTGGCACATGCCTTTAATCCCAGCACTCGGGAGGCAGAGGCAGGCGGATCTCTGTGAGTTCGAGACCAGCCTGGTCTACAGAGCAAACATACTCTACCAATTGAGCTAAGGCTTTAGCCCCTAAATTAGTAACTTTAGCCAATATATTTACAAGCTGTCATATCTACTAATAATCAGCAAGATACAAAAGGTTCAATGCGAGTTGGGCAGTGGTAGCTCATGCCTTTAATCCCAGCATGTGGGAGGGCTTGAACTCTAAGATCCCCTTACCTCTAAGGCCAGCCTGGTCTACAGATCAAGTTCCAGGACAACTAGTCTCAGAGGGAAAAAAGTTCAATGCAGTCTGCTGATTATATATAAAGACATCACAATGGGAGCTGGTTCATCAGTTAATAGTACTTCCGGCCGGGCGATGGTGGCGCACGCCTTTAATCCCAGCACTCAGGAGGCAGAGGCAGGTGGATCTCTGTGAGTTCGAGGCCAGCCTGGTCTACAAGAGCTAGTGCCAGGACAGGCTCCAAAGCTACAGAGAAACCCTGTCTCGAAAAACAAAAAAACAAAAAAACAAAAAGAGTACTTCTGACTCTTCCAGAGGACCAGAATTTGGTTCCTAGTTCCACCCCTGGGCAGCACACACACAACACACACACACACACACACACAACAATAAAGAAAAAGAGGCTATCAACTTGGAGGGAGTCATAGGAGGAGCTTGAGGGACACTAAAAGGTGGGGAGAAGAAAAAGTAATAAAATTCTATTTCAATTGAAAATATTTTTCCTTTTAACTGAAAATAGATTCTTTCTCATATAATACATTCTGATCACAGCTCCCCTCCTCCAACTCCTTCCAGATCCTCCCCCACTTCTTCACCCATACAAAACTACAGTCTTTCTCTCTCATTAGAAAACAAACGAGCAATTAAAAAAAAACCAAAAGACACAAATAGGGCATGCTTTTAATTCCAATACTCAAGAGGCAGAGACAAGAGGATCTCCGTGAGTTCAAGGACAGCTTGGTCTACAGAGTGAGTTCCAAGACTGGCTCAAAAAAGGAAAAAGGAACAGAGAAACCCTGTCTCAAAAAACAAACAACAATAAACAAAAAAATAAATAATAATAAAAATAAAAAGGGACAAAAAAGCCAAAGAAAAAGTCCAAGAAACACAAAGACACACACATAGGAATCTCATAAGAACACAAAATCAGTCAGGCATGGTGGCACATGCTTTTAATCCCAGCACTCAGGAGGAAGAGGAAGGCAGATCTCTAGGGGTTCAAGGCCAACCTGGCCTACAGAGTTCCAGAATAGTCAAGGCTACACAAAGAAACCCTGTCTCAAAAAAAAAAAAAAAAAAAAAAAAGTCCAGAATAAATAATATGAGATGAAAGACCTTCAAATATATCATTTAGTTCATTTTGTGATGGCCATCTGCTGCTAGACATGGACCTACACTTAAGTGTGGTTTGTTGTAGAATATTACTTTATCTATATAAATGTGTGTTATGCTTGTTTAAACTCACCTGCCTAAGGCACCTGATATAGGTCTAACAAAAAGCTGAATGGCCAATAGCTAGGCAATAGAGGGACACCCAAAAAAAAAAAAAAAAAGCAGAATGCACAAAATTTGGCAAACAAATGGTTATACTAGATAATGCAAGAGGAACAATTTACCAACTAAAGGGAAATTAAGTATACTGAAAGGAGAAGTAAGTACACTGGAGGCCTCCACCACTCCACATTCTGCAAACACCACTTTCAAACATTCTCAGCTCACTACTAGAGCAAAGAGGGCATGGAATTCGTGAACAAGACAAAACCTATCTGGCATTCCTGTGCTGGAATAATTCTGCTGTGAGGTGGTATGCGACGTTAGATAATAATAATCATTATTATTATTATTTTGGTTGGTTGGTTTTTGGCTTTTCGAGAAGGGTTTCTCTGTGTAACAGTCCTGGCTGCCCTAGAACACGCTTTGTTACCAGGCTGGCTTCAAACCCACAGAGATTCACCTACCTCTGCCTCCCAAGTGCTGGGATTAAAAATGTGTACTACCACACCCTGGTATTAAACCTTACTTTTAATGTATTAATTTTCATTATGTTTAAATACTATTGTTTCCTCAATAAGGTCAGTAACCAAAGAGCATAAAACAAAAACAAACAAACAAAACAAAAATGCTAGAGAAGGTAAAAAAATTTCTTGCCAAAATAACTGACTGTCCACAAATTATTTTTGTTTCTAATCTATCTAAGGGATCTTTCCAAACGCACATCTGTTTCACGTTACTGTCTCTACAGTGAAAACCTGGCACAGCGGCACACACTTGCAATGGCAGCATTTGAGAAGAGGCAGCAGTTAAAGGTCATCCTCAGCTACAGAGCAAATCTTAGGATATCCTGGATTAGGTGACACTGTCTCAATAAATAAATAAATAAATAAACAAACAAACAAACAAACTAACCCTATAATGTCTCCTGTTGCTTTTAAAAATCAAAATTCAGGATTGGAAAGATGGTTCAGAGGTTTCAGAGCACTGGCTGCTCTTCCAGAGGACCCGGGTTCAATTCCCAGGACCCACATGGCAGCTCACAACTGTCTGTGACTCCAGTTCCAGGGGATTCAACACCCTCACACCAATGTACATAAAATAAAGTTAAATGAATTTTTAAATAACCAAAATTCATAAGAAGGCTCTATTCTGCATAATCTTTTCAACTTAAGCTACATGTGGAGGAACGGGTTCTCTGAAATGTTACTATCTGGGTTTAAATCCTATCTGATGTTTACTCACTGATCCATTCATACTGCTTGGCTTTCTTGAGCTCTGCATCCTCATGTGTAAAATAAGAATATTATCATACATGTGAGAGTTATAATGAGCACTTTTTTTTTTTTTGGTCTTTCAAGATAGGGTTTCCCTGTAACTTTGGAGACTGTCCTGGAACTTCTTCCTCCGTAGATTCACCTGTCTCTGCCTCCCGAGAGCTGGGATGAAAGGCGTGCACCACCACCACCTAGCTATTATGGGCACTCTCTTAAGCATGCGTTGATATTAATAATATTAATGTCACATACAATCATATGATACATATTATACACCATCTATCAGTGTTGCTACTTTTTCTCTTTTCTCATTCAAAACACCAAAAACCTGATTAACCCATTGTCTTCGATATTTTTGTATTGCTCTAAGAAAAATCATGCATGGCCGGAGATGGCTCAGCCATTAAAGGTTAGGTTCACACCAAAAACATAAGATAAACCATGTAACAGGTCATTTATAAGGAAAAGAATTTCCTCTCAGTTCTGAAGGCTGTAAATTCCGAGATAGAGGGGATGCATTTAGCCAAGTCCTCTAGTCACATTCACTGTGGCAAAAGGTGGGAGACCAGCTGGGCGGTGGTGGCACACGCCTTTAAACTCAGCATTTGGGAGGCAGAAGCAGGCAGATCTCTGGGAGTTCGAAGCCAGCCTGGTCTACAAGAGCTAGTTCCAGGACAGGCATCAAAGCTACAGAGAAACCCTGTCTTGAAAATCAAAAAAAAAAAAAAAAGTGGAAGACCACCCAAGAAAGAACAAGACAGCAAGCAAAGAGGAGCTTACCTGGCACTTACAGCAAACTCATTCCCGGTAATGACAGAATCTGCACATAGGATTACCACCCCCAGCAACAATGCATCAGGAACCGAGTTTCCAGTGAATGAAATTTGGAGGGTACATTCAAAACATGACCATCTATTCACTTACTGAGAACTGAACACGGTATCTCAGAGTGCTAGGAAGGCACTCTGCTACTTAACTACCCCTCAGCCTTCAGAGCACATATCCAACGGTTTAGAAAAAAGAACCAGTTCCACAAACTTATAAAGCAGAAGCTGTCAACCGCCATGTTCGACTCTAACTTTTAATGGTTTAAAACTCAAGAGAACGCTTACTTGAGCATTATCAGGCTCCTCTTTGACTCTGTCCAGAAGCCCTTGTGGTGCCACTGCATTCTCACAGCCACCGTCCAAAGGTTCTTTCATTCTCAGTTTGTTCAGAGTTCTTCTCCCGTTTAAAATGAAGACTTCTTAGCTAGACTCCTAAAACATAATATAAAGAATTGATACTCGGATTCTGTTTTCCTTCATATTCGTGTGTTAATAGCTTCAGGCTCGAGCATTTTGAAGCGTCAACCCTTCTAGGACTCTAACTTCTTCCTGTTCCTGGGTTAGCTACCTTTTAATGAGGAAAGTCTTTCCGTCAAAGCTCTCACTCCCCTAGGGCCTCAGACAAGCGTGATGGTCTTTACCATGATGAAGGTTGCTGAGATGTGGACTGGCCAAACGAGCCAGGGGAGAAAGCTACCAGGCTCTTGGAGAATTGAACTCAGTACAATTCCTGATTGCATAGGCACTGACTTGAGGTGCAAGTTAGCTTTGCTTTCTCAAAATGAGGCAATTGCCTCACCGTCCCCTCTAACTCGGCCTGCGCTGGAATCAAGTGCCCTTTTCTTGACTCCAAGCTAGTGCAGAGCCTAAGGTGTCAGCACAAGCCAACACCAAGTTCCCGTTTGCAAGTGGACCAACTGGACGTTCTTGGAGCCTCCATGGAGGTCAGGCCTGTCTTCCTATAAGCCACTGGTTCTCAACCTTCCTAATGCTGCGACGCTTTGATAAAGTTCCTCGGGTTATGGTGACCCCCCAAAAAACCATGAAAGTATTTCGTTGATACTTCGTAACTGTAATTTTGCCACTGTTATGAATCCTAATGCAAATATGAGAACCGCTGCTATAAGCAGCCTTCTGGTTGCTCTTCAGATTCCCAAACGTACAAACCGTACAAACGAAGGCTTAAAAGAGAAAAAGAACCCTCGCAAAAGGCCTTTCATCAATCCAAGCAGCCGCAGAAAGAACGGAGTTATAAAAGCCTGTCGCGAAGCCGAGATCGAGAACTTACCACCGCTTGACACGGCTGTAACAATATAGGAGTCGCGAGCGCTCCTTTCGTTCCGGTTCGCAAGCAGCAATTCCCCACCAGCCAGCGGAGGAACGCGTTCTGCAACAGAGCGCGCGAGGCGGTGGCGGCAGGCAGCCCCCGAAGCTCCCCAACACCACTGCCGGGTACCCCAGCAACCCCCGCCGGACTCGCTGCCGCCGCGTCACGTGACCAGCCGCCGCCCCGCCCACGCCAGAAGGTGCCGGACCCAGTCACAGGAAATACCCAGCTGCCCTTGCGACATCTGGTCACGTGGTGGGCACGCCCCCTCGTCTGGGCACGTGATGCGGTGTCCCGCCCACAAACCCAGAAGTTGGAGCGGCCGCCTACAGCCCCTCTGCACACCCACCCCCAGTCACCTAGCTGCCTCCGAGGGGGCGGGAGGCTGGGAATGCACAACAGCATTCAGGGTCCTCCGTGGGGACAACAAATGCCTTTCCCGAAATCGCCCGAGCCATTGCAACGCAATGCTTTGCCAACTGCGCGTGCGCACTCCTGCTTAGGCACTAGCCCTAAGGTAATTGGCCGTTTCCAGGCGTGATCCCGCCCTCTTTTCCCAGCATGCCCTGGACCTGGAACCGAGCGACCGTCCCAGAATGCTCGTTTCTTTTCTGGCCGGCGTCTTAAAGAGACGGAGGTTGAGCCATGAAAACGTGGAAGGAAGCATTGGAAAAAAACATCAGGAGTGTTAGGTGCCACTGTATATGCCCTCTTCTGGTTTCTTTCTTTTTTTTTCTTAATTTTTCCAGACAAGGTTTCTCTGTGTAGCACTAAACTGTCCTAGAACTCGCTCTGTAGACCAGGCTGACCTCGAACTCACAGAGATCCACCTGCCTGTCTCCAGAGTCCTGGGATTAAAGGCGTGCGCCACCAAAACCCACCACTCTGTTTTGTTCTATAATGATCTTCTCCTTAAAAAGATAGATGCTAGGAGAACATAAAACTTGGGCATTTATTAATCAAAGTTACTGCTATACAATAATGTGTCATTCCACATAATAGTGACAGAAATTCTAATGTAGTATAAATTTTTGTCTGGAAAAATTAAAATTTGATTTTTATCCTCGTTTTTGAGATATGATTTGTGAAGCTGTTCTCTATTTTGAGATACGGCATAGAATGTTTTCTGTATTTACAATCTTCATGACTATCCATGTCATAATATGGCTGATAGACTTCTATTATTGAGACAGCATCTAGCTATATAATAACAGACTTGACTTTATTTGTTAATATCCTTCAAAAGGTATGCTGCAATAAGACCCTCAGAATGTCTCCTTATTCAGAAATTGGGTTGTTGCTGACAGAACTAGTTAAGATAAAAACGGAGACTGGGGAAATGACTGTGTAAATCTCTTGCTGGAGGAGCATGAAGACCTAGGTTTAGATTCCCAGAATTGTAATCCCAGCATCCCTACAAGACAGAGTATACATACATGTGTGCCATGTATGTATACAAAAATTGTTTTTAAATTTTTGAGGTATATATTTCTAATATACAATGTTACAAAATAAACATTACTATTTTTAATAATTTACCTATTTTTATTTTAGGTGCTTTGGTGTTTTGCCTGCATGATGTCTGTGTGAGGATATCGAATCTTGGAGTCACAGACAGTTGTTAGCTGCCATGTGGATGATGGGAATTGAACCTGGGGTCAGTGCTGTTAACCAGTGAGCCATTTCTCCAGCCCCAAACATTGCTATTCAACAATGGAAGAATAGGGGGCTTAACAAGGAGACCTCAGACCAAAGCAAGTCCAAAACCCAGCAGGGCAAACACCAAGTCGTAAAACTCCAAGTCTGAATTTTGGGAGATCTTGGTGGTCTCGTCTGGACTCCAGATGCTCAGGTAGCCTTACCCGTCCAGCTCTGGGACAAGCAGAACATACCTGTTTAATGAAAGCTCCACTCCATGCATACTCCTTTTCTTTTTCTTCTTTTTTATAGCTCTATGTTGGGGGCACAAAAGGTCTTTGCTCCCACAGATCACTAGGGAAACCAGGAATGTTAAAACATGCAGGGGCCTCTGCTCAGCAGAGGAGATAAAATGCCATCTAGAAAGCTGGGGGTGGATCATTTTAATAACCTGGTAACCTTTTGCTATCTGTGGAGGTAGACCCCGTTCAAAATGTTCATCCCAGACTCTACCTCCAGATCTTTATCTGTAGCTCCCAGTTACGAGAATCCAGCCTTAGAGGGGAATGTCATATATACTTTATAGCGTGCTGAACGCTGTGCTAGCTCTGTCAGAAACCACCCAGGTTTCAGGCTTTTTAGCTATAGAGCCCAAGCTCATAGCCACATGCGCTTTTCAAAGGAATTTCTATGTAGTCACACCTTCAGCTTTTTTTGTGCACCTGGATTGGAATGATGGTTGGAACTTTTCCCCAAATTGTGCTGTGTTTTAAAATGCTGGCCATGAACCGCCTAGTATCAGACCCCCTGAAGTTTAATGCAGGTTAATGTAGGAAAATCTGAACAGAGTTTTCATTCCTACCTCTTTGTGGCTTGATTCCTGACTTCTGTGACAGACATCTGCAGGGAACCCCCTCAACTTTACTTATTGGAGGAGCTTGTGCATGTCCCAGAAGACAAGTGGAGGTAAAAGGAAAATTTGCAGGAGTTGATTCTCTGCTTACACCACGAGGGCTCTAGGGGAACAACCCAAGTGGCCAGGGTTAACCCTAAGTTCCTTTACCTTCTGAGCCTTTCTGCATGGCCCATACCCAGTTTTCTTTGGTGGATATCTCATGGTTCTGGCATCTCCAATATCCTGAGATTTCCAGGTCTCCACTGCAACTCAGACTTTATTTTCAGTTTCATGTAGTGACCTCTCAAGCCTCCATGCAGGAATTTCAACTCTGCCACACATTACCTGGCCACAGTGGCTCTGTGGAAGTGTATGTAGTACAAGATTCTACAATACCCCCAACCTCATCTTTCATCCTGTCAGAACCAATACCATGTGGGTGATGCTGCCAAACAGAGTAGGGGACTGCAGTTGTAACAGCCTCTGTCTGACGACCCTGGGGAAGCACATCCTTCCCTAGGCTGCTGATTTTGAGGAGCAGGGAACTCTTTCAGTAGTGATATAAACTCCTTTTATATTAAATTGCATTTCACAAGTTGAAAGCTTTGCTCAGTCAGCTGTTGACCTGGGGTGGAGCACTTTTCTAATTGGAGCAGCACAAGGCAATAGGTTTCTCTTTTTACCAGTTCAAGCCTGTAGCATGAATAATAAAAACCCAGAGACATATATTGAGGTTCTATCTGAAAGTCAGAAAAGCAAAACAGCCAGCCACTGGCTCTTACCTCTACCTCAGTCCAAAATAGTGATCCTGCCTCCAGAAATCTCAGAATGAGACTGTCTGAGAGCTGTCTCCTCCTGTTTTATATTCCTCTCTAGGGCTAGGATTAAGGCTGTGCACCACTACCACCCAGTTTCTATGGCAACTAGTGTGGCTACTGGGATTAAAGATGTGTGTCACCACTGCCCGGTCTGTACAGCTGATTGTTTTACTCTCTGATCTTCAGGCATGCTTTATTTATTAAAATGCAAATGAAATATCACTTCACCAGCCCTTTTTCAGCACCTGTCTTGGCTGCAACATCATACCTACTTGAACTTTTTATTTTGGAATCTGCACATTTTTATACCTGTCTATACCATTTCTGGTACCACTTTTATGTATTAGTTACTTGTTTTGTTGCCTGTGAAAAAAGCACTGAGAAGTCATTTAAGAAAGACTTTGTTGGGGCTGAGGAGATGGTTCAGAGGTTAAGAACATTGGCTGCTCTCCAGAAGTCCTGAGTTCAATTCCCAGCAACCATGTGGTAGCTCATAACCACTATAATAAAGATCTGGCGCCCTCTTCTGGCCTTCAGGCATACTTGCAGGCAGAAAACTACGTAATAAATAAGTCTTTTAAAAAAAAAAGGAAAGACTTTGTTTTGGCACACAGTTCCAGGGTACACTCTATTGTGATAGAAAAGTCATGAGAACAAGCTCTTGAGACAGTTGGCAATATTACAAATGAAGTCAGGCTATACGTGCTAGTGTTCACCTCTAAATATTTTGTTGTGTTTGGTTTTTCAAGGTAGTTTTTCTCTGTGTAACAGTCCCACTTGTCCTGGAACTAGCTCTTGTAGACCAGGCTGGCCTTGAACTCACAGAGATCCGCCCCCCTCTGCATCCCAAATGCTGGAAGTAAAGGCATAAACTACCACAACCTGGCTGTATTGATATTTTGTTTGTGATCTAACAAATAAAGCTTGCCTGAAGATCAGAGTGCAGAGCTAAGCCACTAGTTAGCCGTAGAGACCAGGCAGTGTTGGCACACACCTTTAATCCCAGCACTCAGGGGACAGAGGCAGATGGACCTCTGTGAGTTCAAGACCACCCTGGACTACATGAGACTAAATCTGCCTGAAAGAGAAATGAAGCTCACACTGTAGGCGGAGACTGCTTGTTTGTTTCCCACCCACCCAGACCCGACATAATCACACGGAAGCTATATTAATTGTAATACTATTTGGCCAATAGCCTAAGCATATTTCTAGCTAGCTCTTACATCTTAAACTAACCCATTTTTATTATTTTATATTTTACCACAAAGGTCGTGATTTACCAGTAAGGTTCCTGGGTGTCTGTCTTCTTTGGCAGCTGCATGGCATCTCCCTGACACCGCCTGCTCTCTCTATATATTTTTGTTCAGATTTTTCTCCTGGCTTTACTCTGTTAAGCCATTGGTTGAAAGCAGCTTCTTTATTAACCAATGGTAATAAAAAACATATTTATAGCGTCACACAAAGGTGATCCCAGCACCCCCCCGGCAACATGATTTTTTATGAAATTATGAGGCCTTCAGCACATTTCCAATCAATCATTGATAGATTTCTGCATTATTTTGTGCTAGAGGACCTGGCAGACCTGTATGGGATCAGATTGTACTATGTATATGGGGTGATGCCTATTCCTAATTGTATTTTGTAACTGAATAAATAATAAAATCAATTCTGTATTATTTAGTATAAATTCAGTGGTTTCAATATGCAAAACAACCCTTTCTGTATATCGTGAATTAGTAACTATGTTGAGAGGTTCTTCAAAATCCCTGAGTACCATGAAAATAACATATAATTCTAACTTTTAGACAGAATCATAAGGACTTTGTTCCACTTTACTTAAATTTTCTGATTTGTAACCT